TCTTTTTTTGCAATTTGATATCCAAGCTTCCTTTTCATTCCAGGTGTATTTCTGGAAAGCGCCGAGTGGTCAAACCCCCTACCAAGCTGAGGTCGAGACAACAATTGAAACATCTGTCAGTCTACATCTACAACCTTACACATCGTACAGATTTCAAGTTGTTGCTTACAACAGAATGGGCGATGGACCAGCAAGTAACGTCATAGGTCCATTGACCACACCTGAATCAAGTAAGGCCGTCGAATGGATAATCTTAGAAATTAGCTGTTGACTTAATGAATCTAAGTAGAGACACCAATTTCATACCAGATGGTAACGGAACAAACAAGAATATGAAAACAGTTTCGGATGCCACAAAAAAACCCAGAGACATTGGTCCGTATATTCTTTTGTTTGTTTTTTGTTTTTTTTTTTCAATTGATTTTTCACCCACTGAATCAAAGTATTTGTATACTCACACTTGCACAGAAAGAAACGGCACCGATAATTATACTGGATTATGCAGCCAGGAAAATGGACAAAGGTTTCTTTGTCCAGAGAATTGTTAGTACACACAATCCCTTTCCTTTTGTTTCAAATGAATATTTATCACCTTGATTCTTATTGTTGATTCTCTGATCCCAAACATCATCCTATCAAGGACGAGAATTGTTATTTCCTTCTTTTCCTGTATTCAGGAAAGATTTATTTTGCCATTTCAATGGCAGTGTTTAGTTCTAATATAGGACAGCAGCATAAGAGATTGCACATTGTCCGCTCCAGAGGAATGCCGCTCTTTTCTAAACATGCATACTGAGCTAAACAGATTCTGGTATTTTTTTCGGTATCTCAGTTCTTGAATCTCTGATCGAGTTACCATGATTTTCACTTCTACACACAAATTTTTAACCTTTTAACTTCAATGTTGGACAAAGATTGATCAAAATGATATAACTATTTACAAGACCTTATTTCATTACTTACTACAAGAAGTGTGTGGCAACACCTGATGTTTTTTTTCTTGTTGTCTTTAGTACCAGATTCACCCCGGAGATTCTCCCTTAACATCCATAACCAAAGCTTCATAATACTTCAGTGGAGCCCTCCTGAAAGAGCCAATGGCATCATCTCTGACTACCAGGTAACAATAGAGAAAGTACCAGTCACAGAAATGACAATGAGCGGAAATACAAATGACAGCAATCCACAAATGAGACTCCCCCTACTTGACCTGCAGGCGAGGTACAAATTCTCAGTACTGGCTATCAACAGAATTGGGAAAGGTCCTCCACTGGTTGTAGAATTTGATCTCACAACAGGTTAGCAACTTCTTTGACTAATAAATGATCAAACAAACCAATTCTTATTATTTTAATTTTTAAAAATCCAATATTGAAAATGCCCTGTGCTTTAAAAATGTATATCTGTTCTAAACATATAACATGGGTGTAATGAGGGGGTTCAACACTAAGGGTCTTGGGCATTTGGGGGTACCCCAGAGTCACAAGCACAAAAAGCTTGCTTTCTCCTGCCCCCTGCCCCCTCCCCCTCCCCCTTTACAATAAACTCCTGAATACAGTCATTGCTTAGCATCAGATGAGAAAGTCTAAAGTGAAAGCAAGGATTGTGAAGTTATTTGCAATCAATTCTATTCCTGATTTATTGTGGGTATAGTTATCCCTGGCCTCTTTGTCACTCAGCTGTACATCACCCCTCCAGAACTAATTTATTATATTATGTTTCAAAAATCTAGCAGTTTGTTGCAGAATGCCCTTCCAAAAACAAAGACATTGTTGGAAGGGAGAATTATTGCATGGCATGTGTATAAAACAGAAGTGGCATATTTCTAAACACTTGTCTTCTTGCAGCACCTCGAATATCTCCCCAAAATGTGACAGCAAATTTTGATAATAAAAACAATGAGGTAGTCTTGAACTGGAGAAGTTCCTTGCAAGACATTGAAGGATTCCGGGTAAGTAAAGAGCAAGCATAAATATTTGAACCCTCTAACTACTATGAGTGACCAAGACAGATTTCCTCCTTACAATATCTATACAATTTCATGCAGACAAGTCGCAAGAATTAATTAGTTCTTATTAACCGAGCGGGAGGTCTGTATGGGAGAAACTTGACCGAGGTCAAGATTCTCCCATACAGACCGACCTAGCTCAGTTAATAAGATGTTTATTATATGGCTGTGTCTTATATGCCAATTTTTTATATTCTTTGTACCTTTTTTTTCTAGACCGGTCTAGATGTCAGTCTAGATGGGAAAATCTAGACTGCTTTAAATATTGATTTCAGCCAATCAAATGCGAGAATTCGGTAGTTCTCAGTCCTTTTGAGACACAGCCATATAATAAAGGAAAATATCAATCCGGGATTATTAATTGATCCAATACCAAATTCTTCCAACATCATAATGGCATACAGTAGGGAGACTAACAAACGAGATCTTGGGAGTGAAAGCGTAAATATAGAATTAAGAAAGAAAATTCCTCTGAAGAGAGAGGTTGCATGTAGACCAGCCACACTCATAGTTTCTGTCGATATTTCTTTCAGATTTTTTACTGGAGTTCTGAAAGCGATCTGCAAACCGTCGACGTTGCAAAAGAAACAAGAAGAACAGAAATCTCTTTTGGTCTGGAGAATGGGAAAATTTATCATTTTCAGTTGGCAGCTTTTAAAATAGTTCACGGCGGACATTACATATTGGGTCCAAGATCACAAGAAGTCACTGCAGGAAAAGGTAACAAATTAAAACGATAGCGATGGTGTTATTTGGGCGGACGAGTAATTAAAATTTTAACTTACTCTTCACACAACGAAGACGTCTCATATGAAAATGAATGACTGTAGAACTGGTTTAAAACAGAGGGACCCGCCGTTCTGTCCCTCGAAGTAATCGTTAATCTCCGCTATTCGAAAACGCAGTATAGAACCCAGATCCCCTCGCAACGCCTTGTTAAAACGTAATACAGGAGCTGGTGTTGGACGGGTGAATAAACTTTGTATGTTTGTTTGTTTTTAATTTAATTTATTTTTGCAATAATTGGTGAGAAAGGCTATTTAGATAAAAAAAAAGTCGCGAAAAAACATAATTTTTTTCTTTATGGTCTCAGAGTTTTCCACTATTCGTAGTTGATAAATTGGTCACCGTAATGAGTTTCCTTAAAGTTTAACCGACTGATTGACTGACTAAATAACCGCCTGATTGACTGGCTGATCACTGACTGACAAACTGACCAACTGACTTACTAAGTACTGACTGTCAAACTTTCAGATCGACTGACTGAGCGACTCAAGTAACCGAACATCAGACGGACTCGGTAAATCACTCAGTGGATGCTTTAACTTTGCGCAGCAAACAGATGGATTCCACAGAGACTTATAATCAATGTATATTTTCCTTTCTTTCAGAAAATTTAAAAGCAAGAAGGACAAAGTCGACGGGAAGTTTCATTGATAGTCCTGGGACTTTGCTTCTGGGTTCACAGCTACTATTCATCATTGGCTTCCATTGGTTACAGGCCAGATAGCAGTTAACGAGATTCAGAGATGTTAAAAAAGCATTCCTGCGTCAATCTCTTCGGGAGAAACCACCGTCAAATCCCAAGAATGAGATGAGATGTTCATTTAATCAGAACAAGTGATTACTTAGTTCTAAAAACTACAGATAGAAAGTTCATCTCGTCTTTTAAACATACTTAGACGAAACAACTGGTTTTTAGCCTCGAGCTTTGTTAATATAAACAATTTTTCAGAGTCAGGGAAAATATATACTCCAAATCAAGGAGGAAGGAAAAAGAATTCACACCATCTTTTCGTGAACTTTTGAACGATTTACGAAATATAGTTATCAAGCTGTTTTGGAAAGTGCCAACTATAACATCCTCGTGAATTTACAACGAGACGGTCCCTAAAATGCAATGACGTCTATCACTTATAATTAAATATTTGAATATTTATTTTAATGTACTTTAATTCTGAATGAAAGTCTCAAATTCCCCTTCTTTCTGGCTTCCTGAAAGTTCACATCATCTTGGGATTACGCTGGATTCGGAGTTTCAGTCAGGGTACAAACGTTATTGCACTAATCTGATGTTGGTGGCCAATGACCGCACCAAAGAAAATTGGAAGTGCACTGTCAAGGGCTTTACCTAAAGCTACTACTTACAACCATTAACGATTTCTATATCCCGAAATAGTGTTAATTAAAACCCCACTTGTTTTATAACAATTCAAGGTTCGGTATGGGTCAACCGCACAAATTGTCAGGAAATGTAATATATGAATTAATTTGTAATAGTTTTATGAAACATTTAAGAAATAACGATCAATTAATTAATTAATGTGTTTTGACACATGAATTTGTTTTAAAAGAAACTTTAATGACGATATAGCCCAGTGCGAAATGATGGTCGTTAATTATGTTTGGGTTTTAGCCAAATAATGTTGTTTTATATTAAAGGAAAGTGTAAAATGTATATCGTTCAGCATTACATAACTAAGCAGTTAGTTATTGCTATACGTACTTGTCAACGACTAGATTTTGACTGATCAAGCCTGAGATGGACATAGATATGGTTGCCATAGATGAACACAGCGGTCAAACGTCTGCGCATGCGCGTACGTTGTATAGCATCCTAGTTGTCCTACAGACAACCATACCAGCGTGGTAGGTGCGGTGTTTAAAAGCGGTCCATTTTTTGGGGGGTGAAGCTAAAAATAAATCGGTTAATCAACAAGAAATCTATAATTAAGTAAGCTTTGTGTACAAAGTCTCGAGTTTTTCCTGTCCCTACTTTTGCTTCCTTCTATAAGTTTACCTGAACATATTTTTCGCATATTTCACGTGATAGAGGTTGCTTATGTTTCTCTTTAAATTTTGAGCGGGAAATTGGCGCGCGGCCGGCCAAAGTTGACTCCCTTGTGCATACCTGACGTTTGACCGCTGTGTCTTATAGATGTGTTCTAGGATATTCAGTCGTGTTACAGTTCAAACTTCATTTTTTATGCGTTTGTTAATTTGTCAGGCAAAACCTACGAGTTTTGCTTTAGTTTGCCAGCTGAGGTAGATAAAAAATGCTAATAAAATGTTAAAAGATACCATGGCTTTTACAATAGTAAAAACTTAAGCAGTCGACTACAAACAACCCAACATACATCCAACAGATTGTGAGCTCGAGATCTCGATTGCGCGATAGCCGAGGAGAGCGAAGCACGAATCGACCATCACGTATGGCAATCGAGAACGAAAAATGTAATTGCAACCAGAAATGTTCATTCCACGTTCAGAAAACACAATGGGAGGTTAGAAAGCATTAAACTAAGTAACCACCCCCTCAAAGCGGCCCTTCGCTAGGAGTATGGTTTCGTGTATCATTGGAGGCTCAAGCCCCTCGTCTTTGTTAAGAGAACGACTTTTCATCTTGATCTCTTCAATCTCCTTACCTTCCTCTTGACGGTGTTGTCCTCCGTTTGTACGACTTTCACATAGTTCGGATTGATATAGTGACCTGATAGGGCTGAATGTTCGCATATAAACGACGATGTTCTCATCTAGTTTTATTACAACCTGAGGCCTGTTTTTCGAATTCCTAGAAACTGAAGGGGCCCGTAGAGCCGTTCTGTTTTCATTCACGATCAGTGTTTCAATTTTTTTAAAAATTATGCAGTAAAACCGTGAGATGTCAGAAACAAAATGGACTAGTCAGGGTACCAGAACCTGCTTTTTCATTCTCTAAGCTTTTATTTCAAAATTTGGCTCCGGGCCCGTCAAGTAACCAGGACTCTCAATAAACGAGCCTCTGATACCTACAGCCCGAGCTTCCCCCC